TTGTTTCAATATCTGACTCAGTCTAACTTGTCTCATGAGGCACAGTCTCTCACAGAACCTTACAGACTGAGCCAGCCTAGTTAGCCAGCAGGCCCCCACAATCTACCTGTCCCCAGCCCACAGCCTTTGGATCATCGGCACCCGTGGCTTTTTAACATGGGTGCTGGGATCTGAACTCAAGTTCTCAGCGATCACTTTACAAAATGGACCATCTCTCCAGCCCAACACTTCCTTTTAATCCTTTTCAACATGCCAAGACTTATTACAAGCACTCCTAAAGCATACTAAGAACATGTGAAGAACATCTTTCCTCTACAGTTACTTTCCATTTCAACACAGAGCCTTTTTTTTTTAAATCTTTTGTTCCAAACTTTGAAAGATTTCCCATTTGAGTGGATGTTGGTACCCATTGCGCGAAGCTCTTCAGACTTTATATTCTCCTGCATCAGCTCCATCTCAAACCCGCTCATTCTCCTTTTGCCTTTGTTCTGTCTTTCCTGAAATCTGTTTTCCTAATTAAACCACCAAATCAGTCATAACTGTAATCTTCAGAAGGTTCCAAGAACATAGTTCATTTCCTCACCCTTGATCCCATCTCTGATTTATAGCTGTCTATGTAGTATTAATTAAGACAGATTTCATAATGAAATTCCTCTCATTATGATACCAGTGCTCCTGGTAAACTCGAATCTTGCTAAGGGCTCTTTTCTTAAGCACGATCCCGCATCCGTGAGGAAAAAACATAATTAGGGCCTCTAATGGAAAGTTTTTAGATGCGCACTCACTACGTAATTTTCAAGCACTGTTTTGAAATGTTTCGTGCTTTCTTTTCCCTCCCCCGGGTTCTGAGAATGTTTCCCTGTGCTGTGCTGTGGCACTCTGGGGAGGACATGTGACATGATTGCCAAGTTCAGGGCTGGGATCTTTGTGACTCACTCAGCCCAGAATTTGCATGGCTATGGAAAAAGCTTCGGGATGACTGCTCAATAAAGTGATCCTAACTGCATACTTATCCCCATCCCCACTTCAGCTCAGAATGGCCAAGAGGTTGGGAAGGGGGCATGAGGGTCCTTCCTCATTTCTAGAACCACAGGCAGATGTAGAGAGAGCTTTCAAATGGCCAGCACTATTCTACAACCTAGCTTTTACTCCTGTGTAAAGTGGGACCAAGATGATTTTTGATGTGGGTCGTAAGATCTCCAAAAGGCCAGAAATAGTGTCTGGCAAGAGCACTGGGATCCAGTTTCCTGTCCTAGTTGGGAAAGTAGCTTGGTGCTTCTGAGAGTTCTCTAAGGTCCTTGAAGAAAATGACCATGAGTCACTGACTGGGGAGAAAGCTGGAATTTGGAAGCCCAATAAGGCAGGTTAGTAGGGGCCTTTCTCCCAGTATACCTGACCTCAGGGTGCTGGGGAGGGAGGGTGAAGGGGTGGGCACAGTGAAGCACTGGAGAAGTCTTATCTCAGGGCATCTGTACTCCAAAGAGTGTGGCACTGGACACAGGCTCTGCATTGTTTTTATGCCTGCTGTTTGATTCAGAATTCTTGCAAGTATTCTCAGTGTTTTCTCTCATCCCCCAGAACCTGTCTTCAGTGAAACCTCCAGTATTTGTTACTAACGACTCCCGGTGAGTCACGTGGCCAGGCCACACAATCTATGGAGGAAACTGGCGGAGAAGGATGTACCAAGACAGCATTCCTTCTCTGTCAAATGTTCCTGCTCAAATTCTGTCTAGAGCATCCATTTCTTTCCTCCCATCTTTATAAACTCATAAAGCCTGAGTGCTAGCTGCCTTTCCTTTGTTGTCCGTTACCCTCAGGATGATTTTTACCAAATATGAACATTCCCTCGGCTGTCACCCATAGACGCTTGTGTGTGTGTGTGTGTGTGTGTGTGTGTGTGTGTGTGTGTGTGTGTGTGTGTGTGTGTATACTGTGGTAACAAGTGCTCCTTGGGGAATATTCTGGAACCATGGAAAAGGCTGCCCAACCAAAGGTGGTGATTGCTCACATTTTGGCTCTTTCTTCCTTTTCTGTGTCCAAGTTTTCTATTGTTAAAATAAGCTAAAGCTTTGTTCATGGTGCCTTTCAATCATACCTCAGCTTTGCTGTATAAATAGCGCTGCAATAAACATATGTCTCTATGTTTTCTGATTATTTCCACAGACGTTTCTAGATGTTGACACGGAGCACTAGAGAGCTGGGCTTACTTTATCATCATTACGATTCTGATGCTTCTTGCCCAGTGGCCTGATTTATGGATCCCACTGCCTTAGCCCCACAGTGTGTGCCTGTCTCCCTGCTCTTGCCAATGACTGGCCCCGATTTAGTTTTCTAGACCTTTGCTAACGTAAAGGGAAAATATTACTTCACTTTTGTGTTTTATTTTACTGATTTTTATGGCTGACATTAAAAAGTCTTCACATCCCTACCAGCGCTTTTTCTTCCCTTTTCTCTCTTTTGTCTGTTTGTATCTTCTGCCCGTTTTGTCTCCCTTAGTCGAATTTTTACATTTCTACTTTTTAAATTCTTTTTAATTCTTTGTATACATACAGTGTGTCTTGATTGTATTCACACCCCTCCCATGCCTCCCAGATCCACCCCCACCCCACCCCCCACTTCACGTTTTTTGGGTTGTTTTTGTTTTTAGAGAGACTATTACAGGATGTATCATGGTCCTCTGGCAATGACAGACTCTCTCTGCCCCCAGAGCCTTAACTGCAGACATTACAGTCAGATGATCTCTACCTTTTGACCAGTTGTGGACCTCTTTAGTAGTCTCTGCCTGCCACAAAAAGCAGCTCCTTTGGTGAGTGGTGAGGGCTCCACTTATCTGTAGATAGAAGGATAAGTATTGAGAATGGGGTTAGAGGTTATACTAGTTTAGGAAAGTGGCGGTAATAGGTTCTCCTCTAAGTTCCATGGCTCACCAGCCACAGCTAGTTTTATAGCACTAGACATAAATTTCCTTGACTGAGTAGGTTTGAAGTCCACTTAGGTAGCTGTCGGTTCTCCCCAGTATGTAAGCGTCACTATTGCACCTTCAGGAATATCTTGTTGTGATGGGTCATTGTTACTGCTGAATAGGACTGTCAGTTGCTTTTCTCCCTTGGAAGGTTGCATGGCTCCTCCCAAGGTGCAAGGGGAGGAGAGCTAGTCTTCTTCAGAAAGGAGGCTTCCAGGTCAGATTTAGACTAGTTCCTTGAAGTCCCATATCCAAAGTCTGTGGTATTGTCAGCAACAGGATCTCACCTTCTTGTCTGGAAGGACATCACTAAGAACAACAGTAGTAGCCTAAATTGTTTAGGGTTTCTTGGGCTCAAACAAATTGAAAGTTTCTCATGGCACTGGGGTTTTCTTCAGATAGTTTATGTTTGGGAGGAAGGAGCATGTGTGTGTGTGTGTGTGTGTGTGTGTGTGTGTGTTTGTGTTGTGTGTTCATACATGTATATGTATTATATGTAATTTTAAGTAAGCATAATATAGTGCCCCGTGGCTTTTTAAAACATCCTTAGTGCTATTTATCCCTCTTCCTTCCCGCTCTCTTCTTTCTCCCCTCCTATCTCCCTCCCCAGGTAAGTCTCTGCCACTGGTTTTTCCCACTTCTCCCTCCATAGCAACTAGGTCTTACTAGTCCCCTCTCTCTGTTTCTGTTTTTATTACAACTAGCTTTCTAGTTTATTGTTTTCATCTCCCTTTTACAGTGCCTTCTTGATGTGCAGATGTTTTACCTTTCTGATTTTATTACAATATTGTTCATTTTATTATTATGTACATGTGTATTTGTGGGCTTACTTTGCTATAGCATATAAGTGGGTGTCAGTAGACAACTTGCAGGAATTAATTCTCTCCTTCCACCATGTGGGTCCCAGGAACAGAACTCAGGTCATCAAGCTTGTCTTGTCAGCTGTCTTACCAGGCCCATTTAAACTTGTGTGTTCAAATCTGTCGTCTTTTCTTTCATAGTTTATTCTATTACATTTATACTAGGTGAATTTTCCTTGCCTTAAGATTTTCTTGGTTGTTATGAATTTTAAAACCCTTTAGCACTTCCATGTATTTGAAATTTAATTTGGTACAGATTGTGGGCTGAAGAGCTAAACACCTTTCTTTCAAATAGTTGTAGCTGGCCAGTTTCCCATGGTGGGGAGTGTCCCATGGTGTGTGTGTGTGTGTGTGTGTGTGTGTGTGTGTGTGTGTGTGTGTGTGTGTGTGTTGATCTTATGTGCTATATTGAGTTGGCTTTGTTTTTTTATTTCTTCATTTTTGTTTTGTGTTGTTGTCCAACCAGGGTCAGCCTCTGCTCTACATTCAGCTCTTTTCCATATATGGGGACCTGTCCAGGCTGTCTTGCCCCTTGCACCTTACTCCTATTCCAGAAACATATGGATTCTCACCCCATTTCTTAGTATACATTCTTTTTTATTTTTATTTTTCCTTAGGACATATTCTAAGCCTAATTCTTTATTGTTTTCAAGTTGCTTTCAGCTCAGCTTGCTTGCTTGTTTGTTTTCCAGACAAATGGTGAGTGTGTGAGTGTGTGTGTGTGTGTGTGTGTGTGTGTGTGTGTGTGTGTGTGTGTGTTCGAAGTTCCAAAACTCCTTTGGGGTTTTGATGAAAATTACATTCAACCTACAAATTAATTGAGAAGAATTTGGCATCTACAGTGTTGGGTCCTGCCATCCAGGAACATATCCTGCCGTCCCTTCCCATTTTCAAATACCCCTTATATGTCTCAGTGGAATCTTGTAGTTTTCTTTCAGCAAGTTCAACACGTTTCTTATTATGGTATTCCCTGATTCTTTTATTTTGAGTTCTTTTTAAAAATGAAGCCCTCTCCTTCTTTTGTACAGATCACTGTTTTTAATATCACTTTGTCCTCAGTGTTTGCCAAGTCCTGGCAGGTATGTAACAGAAAAACATCTTTCTTCCTTCCCCAGCTCATAAGCCCTGAGCCTTAAAACGAACCAAGCTTAAATGTATTTTCTTTTTATAGATAATAAAACTGAGGTCATGAAAGATAAAATGATGTTTAAGGATCATCTAACATGGTAGGTGAGTGACTATAGATGATTATTTCCAAATGGCTATTTTTTTTACATCAAAGACATGACAAACATAATAAAATTACCCAAAACTATTTTCATTCTCTTCCCTGTATTAGTTTGCTGTGTGGTTGTAACAAATGACCACAGAATTGAGGGCTCAAAGCAATGCCGATTTGTCATCTGTTGAGAATGAGTGATGGCACTGGTAGGCCATCAAGCCTCTGTCACTTCCACTGGCTCCACTTTACCACATGTTCCTGACTTACTTTGGCATTCTGTCCACAGCAAGCACAAGCTCTTTGTCCTGTTCCAAGTTCCATTACTCCACACATTGCACTTCCCAGGATTACAACAAGATGGGGAAGGGCAGGGCCATACAGCCCGAGCAGAGTGTTAGACCCTAGCTTCACAAGCCAGCGGCCGATGTGTTCAGGAGTGAGCTGTGTGGACAACGTGAAGTGGGCAGTGACAGCAGGAAACACACTGAGTCTGAGGGCCGCTGAGGATTTACTGTTGGTCATCTCCTGAGCAAAAGCTATGAGTGGTACACCATGGTGGTCCATGATAAAGGAATAGTTGAGCGTTCCACAGTGTGGGCTGATGTGAACACATCCTGTATGTCTTTGGTCTGCTTTGTTAAGTGATTGAAGTTCAGTGTGTCCAACATATGGTGTTAATAGTTTTTCGTTGTACCATGTTCTGTTGTGTGTCTTGATAGCTGTGGGAAAGTCCAGGTATTGACTTAATCCCAATGTCTGCTGGTTGCTCAGGTGTACAAAGTGCTGAGTTCTTCTGTCTTGACTGTTATCCAGGATAGAGTCACTGAGGGCAAGGCACAGCCTGCTGTGTACATTCTCTGATAGTTCTCCGGGCGTGTCTGTAAGGGGTTGTCTACATTGAGCTGAAATCAGAAGACCTGCCCTGAATGTAACGACCATTGTTCCAGAGGCCTCCCAAAAGAGAAAGTGAACTGAGCAGCAGCAGTCATATCTTTGCATCCTGACTGTGGATGCTGTCTGACCAGCCACCTCAGGCTCCCGACACCACACCTGTCCCATCATACCAGATCTTCCCTCAAGCCATGAGCCGAAATAAGCTGTTCTTTGAATGGCTTCTGTCAGGTACGACAAGGACAACATGCATGGAAAGTTCTGTTTTTCTCTTCCATCTGTAGACTCTTCTGTGCGTCTATTCATGTAGCCAGCACTTAAACTTGTTAAACAGCACTGTGGATCAGACCAGTCCTGGGCACAGCACCGTGAGCAAGGCTTCCGTGCGTGGTCCCTGCCCTTTGAGTGTTCCATAGGCGGAGGAGGAAGAACACTCACAACTACAGGGTTGGGCCAGCCCTCATGTACTGCCACTATATCAAAGAAGCCTGGCTTCCTTTTCTCCTACCACAGGGTGAGACAAATGCTCTGCAGAGCAGGATCATAACGATTATGGACTAAGAATATGGAGCGTGGGGAAACAGGGACATTTCCGTTTCCTATGTTCCTTAAGGTTTTGAAGAGTTCCTGAAATCCTCCCAGTCTTTCTCACTGTGTAGCTAGTAGGCCATATTCTCTAGAAGGGCGGGCACACTGGGCACACTGGGAAGCAGGTGACTATCAGGACCTGCCCAATTCAGACTCTCCCCCCAAACATTTAGAGGATCCCCTGCCTCCTCGTCTAGGAGAGCAAAACCAGCTGAACTTTCTCCCACACAGTCTCTTGGTTTTGTTCTCTGATACCCTCATACTCGACTGCTGTGCCTCTGAGCTTGAGCATAATGTAAATACTTAATTTGTTTAATAAATATCCTGAAATGGCCTCTTGGAGTTGTTACTAGAAGGGCACGAACCTTTTAAGTCACTTAGCCAGCACAGATCAACACTTAATGTCCTTAATGATGAGCGTGATCTTCTTTAGTGGCTGAAACGCTCCGTAATCAATGATGTGGCCCTGCCTGGAGGCAGGAGAAACTAGATAATGGGCAGAGAATGTCATGCTGGATCGGGCTGGTAATTTGAATCCCTGAAATCGGTATTAGTGTGGCAATTTATGGGAGAGCAGTTTCTTCCCAAGGCTAGGAAGGGCCCCCCAACATCTCTAATGTCCCTTCATGATTTGCACACTATTGAAGCCCCTGGTGAGCCGGTGTCTGCTCTCAGCCTAAAGCCTCAGAGTCATCTCCTCCTCACTCTGCCGGCCTCAGCAGGAAGCTCAGTGCTAGGCTGTAGGGGAGAGGCCTGTCTGGAGTGGGGGGCAGGGGAGGGGCCACACATCATTTACAGTCTGTGAGACTGCCCTAGGCCACAGTTCTTTTTTTCCCTCCACCTCCACACTAGCTTTGAGAATTACATTATTGCAGGAATAGAAAACAAGTCCATGCCTGTGATCTCAGCATTTAGGAGGCTAAAGTGGGAAGATCTTGAGTTCAAAACCAGCCTGGGCTACACGGAACCCTATGTCAACATAAAATAGGGCTAGTGACACAGCTTGGCTTTAGGACACTAGCTTAGCTACTTCAAGACCCTAGTTCAGCTGGAGGGAAGGAGGGAGCTTTTCTAGCTATTAAATTAAGAAGCTTCCAGGGGCCAGTCTTTGGATGTCCCCTCTTGCACTTCGACCGGGGATGTGATTGGCCATACCACATTCCCTGTATGTGTCATAATTCTCTAAATGCTTGTAATGCCCTCTGACCTCTCGTCTCTCTGGATCGACATCCCATTTGGTGTGACTTTTTAGTAACAGGGAGCCTTCATTAATAGAATACTTCTGATAATTTGAGGGAATTATTTTGTTATGAAATGATTCCGTTTCATGATGTTTATTGTTGTCTGCAGGCCCAGAATTTCTAAATGCTAGGAGCATGCTATAAATGAAACATAAATAATGTATTGTAACTTTGCTGCACTAAAGCCAGACCCCCCATCAGCCCACCAGTGTACATCCTTGAAAAATGGGCCAAAGTGTAAAAATCTACTTTCCCAAATGTATTATTTAAAACTAAAGATTTTTTATATCTCCTTTTCTTACAGGGGGGAGGGGCAGATAAAACTTGACTTCTCCTAGTTTTACAATAAACTTTCTGTAACCAAGCTGTATGGAGTAAATGATTTGAATTTCTGGTGAGTCTTTGCTGGCCCTGGATGAGAGTGTTTTTGAGAATCTGGCTGTGCCAGTCCTTGGCGGGTTGGTAATATCTTGGACCCTTCTTTGAAACATGGTATTCTAGTAGCATCCCATTGCTGGAATTATAGGGAGGCTGGAAATGTAGCCTCACTGCCGTACTGTAAGGAGGAACAGAGACTTTTGTTGGCAAGCAGACTCTACCATTATGTGAGTTTCCCCATCCCAAGCTGTGTAGCCAGTTACCAAAGCTTCCACTCTTACAGCCATGTTTCATCCCACCAACTCCAAACATCTCATGTGACCTTTGCTAAATCCCTGTATCACATTTCAGAATGCTCTCCTTTGCTTATTGCTTGCTGACTCATAATGATCAGACTGTTTTAATTACTGGAGGGAGACTCACATTATTTGGTTCAACATCATTATTTTTTTCAAGTTCTGAATCTTATGGAATATTTGTTTTTTCAGATGAATTATAGATTTGATTAATTGAATTTCTTTTAAAAAGAACAAGTAAACAAACTTCTACTGTTCTTCTGTTCCATCTTATTAAAAATGTATTCTACTCAAAAACCTTATCCATATCAGAGAAAATAAGCATTGTTTGACAATCGGGTCTTTTTCTGAGTCCAAGGCAGTGCGGTTTTGCAAGGCAAGCTTCCCACCAAACAGTGGCCAACAGTGTTATTAGCAGGGCATCTACAAATGGCTCAGTGTTTGTAGTTCACATTTCAACTTCAACTCTATTTGTTGCATTAGCAAAATCAAGCTCATTAAGCTGTATTCTCTGAGCCCATCTCTGCGAGCCCCTGAACCCACTCACACTCGGCACTCTCATCTGGCACTGTGTAATCTTTCCTGCATTACACTTGAAAGTTCAGCTCACTCCGAAACCTCCAGTCAAGGATGTGAACTTGTTGCTTTCAGGGAGGCCGCATCTGTGCACTGAGCCATTACGCCATCTGTTAAAGTGGTCAGAGTTCATCTGATTGTCTCCTTTGTGGACAGACTCGTACTGTAAGAGCGTGTGTTATTGAAAACATAATTTTCCTCATCATTATGCCTTCTTTCTAGCCAGATCACAACCTGCTAGAAATCTATTGAACGTGGAGTGAAAAGCTCTCCAGAATAGCTGTTCTTAAGAGATTAAATGATTACCATCTCTGTCCCATTTCTTTTATCTCATAATCAAGTTCAAGATGACACTGGGTATCTCAGCTGAAGTGATTATTTGAAACAGAAATGGCTTTCTCCCCTTCATGCTTCCTGCTGTTGAATGTCAGGTCTTTTTTCTTTTCATTTGCATTTTTATTTGTGGATGATTCCTTAGGCCCATCCACAGGGTCAAAGACTCCAGCTACTGTTTTTAAGTGACTCACTGAAGTTGGGTTGCTTTTTGAATGTTCTCTAGTCAAAGATGCTGATTGTATGACAGAGCTCTGGTTCAGACCCGACACGTTTTAGAGCTAACTCAGACTTTATCATCTAGTCATTCAGATTGACAAGTGAGGAGCTAGGGATTGGAACTGCTAAGAGATTTTCCAGTGGTCACAAAGCCTTCTCCAAGGTTACAACGTCCTGGAACAGCCCAGCTCAGATAGGAACTCCTATCTGGGCAGTTCCTTGGCATACCCAGAGGCAGCCTGACACAGCATTGAGGATAGAGAGAGCAAGTGACCCAAGAGTCCAAGAAGCCATTTTTTTTAATGATTAGTTCAAGATGCTGTGTTGTCTCTCCTCCCTATCCTTAGGGCTGCCTGGTCTCTGCTGTTTTCTTTTATCCGAGTTTCTTTTCCAGAGAACTGAACTGAAAGAACAAGATAGCATCAGTGTTGGTTAGCGACTCTGCTAAAACACTTGCTACAGAAGAAATATCAGACTGCCTGCCGTATGTGGGAGTCTGGGCCACATATTGATTGTATTTATCCCCAGGCCCATAAGCAATAGGTAATTAGACATCTAAACTTACATTCTTTTCTCCTTTTAAAATATGTCTAACTTGATGATTCCTCATTCTTAAAACTTAATAATTAGGAAAAAGTGAGTCTTTGTTTGTTTGTTTGTTTTTGTTTTGTTTTTCGAGACAGGGTTTCTCTGTGTAGCTTTGGAGCCTATCCTGGCACTCGCTCTGGAGACCAGGCTGGCCTCGAATTCACAGAGATCCACCTGCCTCTCCCTCCCGAGTGCTGGGATTAAAGGCGTGTGCCACCAACGCCCAGCCAAAAGTGAGTCTTTTAAGATAACATCATTTTACCAACCATGCTTGCATTTTCCATCAACTTTTCCCTTTGCTTCGGCTGGAGGATCTACTTTATCAGATTAAGAATAATACTTAGGTTCTGGACAAGTGGTTCTGCAAGTAAGAGTACTTGGGCAATCATGAGGTCCTGAGTTCAAGTCCCCAGAACCTTTATAAAAAGCCAGTGATAACCCCAGCTCTGTTGGGGTAGAGATGCAGAAGAAGAACCAGTGGGGCTTGCCATTTGCCAGCCTAGCTTCAGGTTCATCAAGAAACTCAGTTTTAAGAGAATAAAGTGGAGAGTGATAGAACAAGATATACTCAGTGTCCCCCTCTCCTCTGTGCCCAGACATTCATATGTATGTGAGTACTACATACATAAAGCACACACAAACACCACAGTCTCCCTACAGCTGAGGATGTAACCTAGTTAGTAGACTGCTTACTGGGTATCCCAATGCCCTGAGTTCCATGCCCATCAGCACCATGTAAAAATCCAGGCATGGTAGTTCATGACTATAGTCCCAGAACTTGGGAATCAGATGCAGGAAGAGAAGAGGTTCAAGGTCTGCATACTGAACTGGTGGCCAGCCTAGACTACATGAGACTCTGTCAATAAATAAATAAATAAATGTATCATAAACAGAAATCACAATAGCTGCAACCAGCAAGTTGGTTCTTTAAATTATAGAACTAAATAAAACAATGATCTTGAGACGGCATCTAAGAAAAAAAATCATAATGAGAGAATATTTCCCCCCAAAATTACAGTAGTCCCATTATCCAGGATTTTACTTTCCTTAGATATAATTATTCAGAACCTCAGCCCAGGAATATTAAGTAGAAACTCAAGAGATGAACACTCTAATAGAATGCCATCTTCCTTATCCCGTAAGTCATTTCCTTGTCCAGCATGGCCACATGTGCACTCTAGCTGCCTGTAGCTAGTCACTGTCCTTGTTGGTGAGGCCTACTTTGCTTTTGCTCACAGCTGTCCCCATATCTTAGCTCATCCGAGGCAATAACTGTGTGTTGAATAAATGCATTTGTGGGAATAAATTAATAGTGGCCCCAATGTGTGACAGTAATAGTGGTAGCAATTTCATCATGATGTCGAGTTATCAATGTGCTATTGTGCTGTTCGTTGATGTGGTTAATCTCTCTCACAGTGCCTAATTAAACATTGCCAGAGATACTCGAATGTAGCAAAAACATGGTATACAGAGGACTAGATGCTGTCCATGGTTTCAGGCATCCACTGGGGGCCTGAGAAAATATCTACTCCATACAAGGGGGAGGCTACCCATATTTATTGTCTCGTCTTCCCAGGTTTAGAAAGGATTGAAGGCAGGATACAGGACATATTAGGGTGATTTCTCTTGCCAATGGAAAGGAGTCTTTTACAAAAGGCCTGAAATACCAAGGTGTTTATTGGGTCAGAGACTAAGAACCTTCA